TCATCCATTTCCCTGGATCTGGGATTTGCGAACTAAGGCCCTCTACCAAAAATGGGCCCACAGTCTCGTTTTGCAAACAGCTTTTTGGGAACACAGCCACACCTATTTGTTTCCGCAGTGCCCGTGGCTGCTTCAGGCTTCAGTGGTGGAGTTGAGGCCTTGTCATAGACAACACTGCCCGCAAAGCCTAACATGTTTACTGTCCTGTCCTTTATAGAGAGCATTTGGTTATCGCTGATCTAGATTAAAACCCATGAAACCTTCTCTGTGGAGGGGTGTGCTTGGACCCACGGCAGGGCATTATCCGTTTTAGCCAGACCTGTACGCCTGGGCCAAGCTCACCAGAGTTCTGTGATTTGATGTCATTTAAAGACACTATTAATGTGGTATCAGATTTCAGCCACCACATCATATATATTCACTTTTGTCATTTTCTTTTCTCCCGCAGGGACCATGTTCAGCTTGGATAATCCTGAAACCTGGTTACTCAACTCTTAGTTGGATCTGCATCGTTTGTGGCAGGGTAATTTTCCTCAATTTGTGTGACACTATGGGGACTCGATGGGGACATACACACATTATTCAGAGATTTTATGTTCTGGATTCTCCCTTCACCTTCTCCAAAGAGAAATCCCTGAGGATACAGAATGTATGAGCCACAGGAAGAATCTCAGAGCTTTAAGCATCTGGAAAATATATTCATCTTCTGACAGTGATGATAGTTAGCATATACTTATGCTTACCAGGCTCCAAGTAAAATGCCAAGTGCTTTATACACATTGTCTCATTTAATCCTCTCCACAGCCTTGAGCCTGGGTGCTAAATAGCCTTTCACAGATGGGGAAACTGTCCAAGGTCACACAGCAACAAAGTAGCGAGCCAGAATGCACCCAAGCCATGGGGGGCAAAATACAGCTTCCCCATCGCATAACAGAAACGGTGTGTCGGCCTGCAGTACTCAGTGAGGTTGTTACAAAGTAGACCTGGCAGGTGAAAGATAACTCCTGGACCAGGAAAAAGCACCCAGCACTTTTCTTGGGTGCCTCGGCACTTTCTTGCCTCGAAATGGCCCGCTCAGGCTGGCCTTGACTGCGTTAGAGCTTTCACTGTTCTGTAGTGCCCTTTAGCTAATTGTAATTCCGAAATCCAGGCCTAGTGAGAAACTGTAGTATCATTAACGTAGCATGGGTTGCATGCCAACATAGGATGACGGTACTGAGCCTGTGTTATTTGTTTCACTGTGAACAAGCAAAGATACGATGTAAAAACTTGGCATTACTCACTGGGAAGGGACTTAAGGCCCCAGCACAGGGTGGGCAGAAAGCTTCCGAGGAAGAAATTCCTGTGCCACCCAGGAGCAACAGCCCTTGTAAGTAACCGCTAATAACTCATCTAACTCATTAACCTGAACCTGTCTGAATCATTCTTTGGTCTCTTGGCACCCTCCCAGTTGGGGGTGGTGGTGGTTTTTCTATACTGTCCTGGGATTTTCCTGAAACACCATCTGACCCCAAAGTCTGAGGTCTTCCAGGCATTTGCACTCTGCAAAGGTATGGAGTGCATCTCAGATAGCAAATACATTTTGCAAACGGTAGAGGAAGACCTGCCGTGACCCCAAGCAGACAGGCAGCAAGAACCAGGATGGATTTAGAACGCCTTAGACTTGTGGAAGAGGTGGGCAGGACTGTGATGACATACACAGGTGTGTCACTCAGGTCTTTCCAGTCACTGAGATGCAAGGCAGTGCTATAAACCTGGCTTTTGTTTGTTAGTCCTGAAGGTGACATCGAGAGCTCCACCTGGGGGGTTAGATCGGGGATGTCCCTTAGCAACCCCATGGAGAGACATGTCAAAGCAGGTTCTGACAGAAAGTTCTGCTCTCCAGGACAAATGGATGCCCCTGCAAGCTCCTGGTCCCCAGGACTTGCCTGCAACTTCTCTCCCAGGATCCAGGTTGGATTAGGGTGGCCAGTTATAACGCTGCTGGCTCTGGCTGCCCTTGGTCAAACCCCTGTCCCTCAACCCACCTTCTGTTCCGAGGAATCAGACATCACTGGGCTTGTGGGTGAGCCCTCACCTGCTCTGAAACCTTGAGGGCCTCACTGCAGTATTAATCGTGGCAACAATGGCTTACTGGCTAAGAGAGAAAATAACTGCCCAGCCCTGTCAAGTTACAGAATCGGAAACAGAACACAACGAACCAATCTCTTACAGTGGCCTGTCCACCCCGCCCCACGATTAGTTTGTGTTCTGTTTTCTTTTCCCTACTCTCCCTATAATAAAAATATCATGGGTTTTAGGACTATTTCATCTCACAGACACCTTATTGGACACCTCCTGTGGCTGGTCACTAGGATATGGTGACCAGGAAACGCGTGGTCTGCCCTCATAAATGAACAAAACTTGCAGCCCTGGGAGGAGACAGAAACCCAACTAGTGGTTTAGTTTCCACTGTGCTGTGTGCTACAAAGAGGTACCGGATGATTCCAGGGCAAACCTGGGACCTATCCCAGCCTGGGAGGACAGGCATGGGGGTGAGGTGGCCCGTAGCCGAGAAGCCTGCCTTGAGCTCAGGACTAGATGGAATCACCCACGTGGAGCAGGAGGGGGACTTCCAGGCAGGGAGAGCAGCGGGAAGCACCTGCCTAAGGGAGGCAGGAGGTGGTGGGCACAGAATGGAAGAAAGCCCGGGAGAGCCTGAGGCTCCAGATCACACGGGCACTTGGAGGCAAATAAGCTAAAAACCACTTGTTTACTTGGGAAGTTCCCATCACAGGGAAACTGGGGCTCAGAGAAGTTCCGGAACCGTAAGGAAGGCACGTGGGTATTTGTTTATTGTCCCTGTTCTCAAATACACAATTAGCCAGTGATAAGATTTGTCCGACTCCCCTCCCCAGACACTGAATGTTGTGGTGTGGAAATGTGTCTTTTAAACACTTGGGCAGCCCTTTAGTGGGCTTTTATAATCGGGTGCCCGCAGCCCTGTGAAATGAAAGCCATCCCAGTGTGCTCCTGAAATGCTGCGCTGACCGAGGCAAGAAAAGGGGCTGATACATTTCAGCGAGATTTTTGTTAGAATTGAGCTCTAAATGATTTTTTTATCAATCAGAATGCTCCATTCCACAGGCACACAGTTGATTGAAATTTTTCTATACATGGTTTATAATTACTACTAAATCTGAAGTGTTAGTAGAACAACTTGGAAATAGCCACCCCCCTATTGCTTTAAGGGTTTAAAATTTGGCCTCCCTAAAAGGAGACGTCTATGCCTCACACCTTCCAACAAAAACCTTCTCTGAGAGGGCCTCCCCTCGGACAGTCTCATCCTTCTTCTGCTCTGCTGACATCCCACTCCCCTTTGTGGTCCCCTGCCTTGCGAAGCCCCTCAGATGTCCCCTTCCTGCCCCCCCCCACCAGGCCTTCTCTCAAGCAGAATCCATCACTGTCCCTTCTGACCACAGACGAGGCTGTTCAGAATGCTATGACGGCAGCCAAAATAGCCACAGCAACTGCCACCAACTCAGCCGGACACTGCAAGATTTCCGGGACAGCTGCCCTACCCTGTCTGCCCTCCTCCCCCAGCACCGGCAAAGGCAGGCAAAGGGGGAAGAGTCCAGACAGGTGACTAGAGGATGGCAGGCTATTTTCTGGCTTAGGGACATGGAAAGAGGAACAGAGAATACAGCAGGAAACAAAACTGGAGCAACGGTTACACCTACAGGTCTGAGCTTCAGATGAGACTCAGGAGGCGTCACCTCCCAAGTCAGCCATCCTGAGATGATGGGGGCAGGGAGCCTCGTCCTTGGTCTGTCCGGAACGAGTATCCGTGTTGCTTCCTATACCAGGTGACATCAGGCTGCCAGGCACAGTCAGTAAAGGAACAGGTGGGAGCAGATCCAGTAAGAGCTCAGAGAACGTATGTGACAGGAAGGCAGGAGAAGCTGCCCTGGTCTGAATGTGTCCCCCAAAGCTGATGTGCTGGAAACTGAATCCTGGTGCAACTGTGTGGGGAGGTGGGGCCTGAAAGGGGACCAGGTCATGAAGGCTCTGCCTCAGTGGTCAATGCCCTTATTGCGGGAGGGGTTCCTCACAGGGAGATGAGACTGGCCTCCTCGCCTGCTCTCTTGTTCTTCCGCCTCCCGCCAGGGAATGATGCAACTGCTGGCCCCTCAATCTTGTACTTCCCAGCCTCCAAAACTGTAAGAAATAAATCCCTCATTCTTTACAAATTACCCAGTCTCAGATATTCTGTGATAGCAGCACAAAAGGACCTGAGGTTTAGTGGGGTGGGGCTGTCTCAGATGAGAGCAGTCCTAGTTAGAAAAGTATTCTTAACAAGAAAAGGCAAGCCACTAGTCACTCCCTAAAATAGTCACCCTTTGTCCCTGCAGATGTATTCACAAGTCATCCTTCAAATCTCAATTTTATTCTCTCAAGGGACAAGGACACCAAGGATTGGACTGTCCTCTGCAAGTGACCAACAGCCTTAGTGCAGGGACCAAATGCCCAACCCCAGCCCCCGTCCTTTGTCGAGACAGATCTTGTGAGTTTCACTAATCTGTTCACCATCAATTCGTAAATGTTTACTGAGCACCTGTTCAGTGTGGGGACTGATCCCAGACAGGGGTTCCTACCTTGCACGTTCTGAAGGAAACAAGCAAACAAATCAGCAGTGGCACTTGGGGTGGCCAGGGCTGCAGTCACAGCTGATGTAGACACTGTGGGAGGCGACACCCTTCAGGGCTTTAGTTTGCAAAGCTGAGGACAAACCTCGGCCGAAGCTGCTCCCCTACATCCCGTGCTCAGTTGTTCCCACCCCAGGATCCCTGGGGACCCACTTCATGAGCTCCCTGTGGGGGCTGTGAAGCCCACTGAGACCAGAGAAGTTTGTTCTGATAAACTATATGATAAACTGATAGCATGACCTTCAAAATTCACTTTCAAATTGATGGCAAAAATCATAATAGAACTTATCACAAAACTAATTTTATTATATTTTTTCCCACTTAAATCTCTTGGCTAAATATCTTCGCTGTCCCGATGACTTCTGGTTCTTATTTTCTTGATGGACACAATGTCTTTACCCTGTTTGGGGAGAAAAAATATAACTCTTAAGTAATTGAAAGAACCATTTTTGTCGACCCTACTCTGCAAAACCCCAAACCCTTACTATGTATTACGCAGGTCTTTAATTCCAGAAAATTAATTTTGATGTTGGAAATGAGTTGTAAGATATATGCTGTTAAAGATGTCTTTTCTTATTTAAATTTTTTTTATTATTTAGTTTTTTACATTTAAATATTGTATATTTTCATATAAAAGTTTCCAGTGTATTTTTAAGCTAATACATAATACAAAAAACTCACAAAATTTCTTCACGAATGTACACATTTTCACTAACTAAAAAATGGCATTAAGAAAACCTGAATTCAAATGTACAGTCAGGATTAAATCTTTTGTGTCTCCTAAACCAACCTATCCCTGTGAGGAGGACAATATTCTAACTGAGTGTGACCAGAGGACTTCTGAAGTATAGGCCCTGTGCAGGGCAGTGTTTGTTTAGGAGCAGCTGGGAGGTGGAGGCGTTTCCATCTTGATTTTGGATCAAATCCGAAGAAAACAAAAGATCTTGCCTTTCCAGAATGGGCGTTCTCAAACCTTGGCGTCTGTACTCTCACTTAACACAGTCCCACACAACAGCCAGTGAGAAAAAGCTAAGCGTGATGGTAGGCATATTTTAGAAACAACTTTGTGTGGTGACCATTGACAGTAGGGCAGACAAGAGTTAGAAAAACAAAAGACAGGAATTCAAAAAGTCTATGACTTAGTTTGGATGCAAATGATCGTAAATAGATTGATAATGTCTTGAAGGCTTCACCATATCACGGTGCAACACACATGTTCATCCTAATGACTGAAATCTCCATCTGGAAAGGTCAAATGGTAGACCACATCCTGTGTCAGGTGGGAATGAAGTATGAAAACCCCATTCCAGATGATGATTGCATGGCAAAGACACAAACTAACTCAGGGAAGACTCGTTCCTCTGATACATCGGCTGGGCTGGAATCCCTCTTGCTGTCTTTGCCGGCCACAGAGCAGGACAGGTCACCTCACCTGCTCTGTCACTGTTCCTTCAGGACTCTGAGGGTGGCAGGGACATTCAATGAGGTCCTGAATGTGAGTTTAGGTCAGTGTTATTACCGCTATCCTAGCAGACAGCAAACAAATCTCTCCTGCCTTTTCAGCTGGTACCAAATGAGACAGTCATTTGTAAAGCAATGAATTCACATGTTACAGCTGTGGCCACGGCTCTGGCCCCTACAGTCTCCAACCGTCCCACCGTGGGGGTCCTTCCTCAGCTTGCACATCATGTATGAAATGGTGTCTGCTGCGGCTAGTATTCCCCTTGCTCAGTAAGGCCAGAGTGCGTTCATCTGAACCCGGGTCACTTCCTTGCTGCTGCCCTTGGTTTTCACTATGGCAGTGGTTCTTATTTCTTTCAGCTCAGAGGGGAGGACAACACTATGAAAAGACGCGGAAGTTAAAACTTCTTCCTGGAGAACACATCCATGTCACACATGCATTTTCTGGGTCTGCAGATGGCCATGGACACCCAGCAAGCACAGGAGAGATGCTAGAGGAGCACGTCTATGCGGGTTAGGGGCTGTGATCCCCAAGCCCTGGGCCGTGCACTCGTACCTGTCTGTGGCCTATTAGGAACTGGGCCACAGAGCTCCACCATCCCCAACCCCTGCTTCATGGAAAAATTATCTTCCACAAAACTTAGGAACCAGGCTGCACAGCAGGAGGTGAGCAGTGGGTGAGAGCGAGTGGAGCTTCATCTGTATTTACAGCCGCTCCCCATCGCTCACATCACTGCCTAAGCTCCACCTCCCCCGCCCCCATCTGTGGAAAAATTGTCTCCCATGAAACTGGTCCTTGGGACCACTTAGGGTTAGGGGGCTCCTGGGTGCTTGTGTGTGAGAAAGAGGCCTGAATGCCCCCATGCAGAACAAAGGCCTAGCTCAGCCTTGGGGATTGGCCATTGTATGTTTAGCAATAATCCCAATTAAAAGAATATTTGTTTTTATTCTTCTTCAGTTTTGCTCTGATAAAGCACTATTTTCCAGACTATGAATCTGGTATTTAGAGCCTGTCAAGTGAACTCCTGTGAATGTGCTAGCCCATGTCGGCTGTCTGCGTTCCTGGCGTTCTCGTGGTCTCAGGGATCTCATCTTGCCCTGTCAGACGTCTTCTGCTTCCAGCCAGCCCCCGGTGCCATCTCTGACTTACGACATCTGCATGGGCATCGATGTCCTTCTCTGAGCCTCTCCTCCTCACTCTCTGGAACATTCTATCAGTACCTTCCCTAGAACTTCCATCCTACCATCCAGAAACACAGGTCCTCCTCCTCAGCTCCGTGCCTGTCTGTATAGCACGTACTGGGGGCACCTGGGCATCTGTCACTCTTCTTGGCAATCTCAGCGTCAGCCTCCGAGTGTGTTCTGCAGGGTGCGTGTCTGGACAATTGCACCTGCCTCTGATACTCAATCTGTCTCTAAAAAGGTTCTCACTATATTAGTTTCATTTTCTGAACTCAAAATATAGTAGTTTTAGCTCCAAATTTTGTGTCCCTAATGGTATAAATCAAATTTATAGCATTCACAAAAAGGTAGCAATTCAAGCTATCTTAATTTTAAACTAGCTAAATCAAGTATCCATCCCCTAGAAGACTAATTGAATGTAATGACTAATTATGGATTTGTTCATATGACAGATAATTTATGAGCAGCTAAATCTGACATTATTTTAGGAGCATTTATAGATCATTAGCTTAGATATTCTTTGGTGGAGGGAGGGCCAGAGAGCAGCACACCGTGCTGAATGGGAACTTTCACGTAGCGCTGTTGGCCTTCAGGACACCCCTGGTGTTTGTCCAACCTAGCTTTCCAAAGGACTCCTTGGACATTCGTACGTGACCACCTTTCTGCATTAGTAAGTTTTTGTGAACTACAGAAAGACTGAAGCCATCTACCTACAATTGTGGTATGACTTATGTTATCAGCAGTCTGCAAGTAGCAGCTAGAGAAGTTCCTAGTTCTTCGTGAATAGTCTTCATCGTGTGAATTTGCTATTTGAAGTGGTATTCCCCAAACAGACAAAATATAGCTAAAATGACAAAACATATGGCTTAGATTAGTGCTCCTTCCATTGGTATAACTGGCAGCTGGCAGGGTGGTGCTTTATATCAACATAATGCTTTTTGTTTGCCTTTGCAACAATGGGCAAAAATATATTAAAACATTCTATGTTTTGAAAAAAAGTTAAATTACTCACATCCTTTGGATTTTCTGCACATCTCTTGATAGCCCGGGTTGCTCTCTGCTCAGGTTCACTTCCCAGCTTGTTTACTGCAGGCTGGATTTTAACCTTCCTTGACCTCAGGCTCATGAAGTCTGAATTTCCTCTTACTCCTTTCTCTGTCTGGTTCTGAGTGTGGGTTCCCACACCTTCCTTGGCTCCCTCCTCCCGTGCCATGCTGGGCTGGGAGCTCTTACTCTGCCGGAGGGATCTCGAGCATGCTCTGCTTTCACCAACTTTGCCCCTTTCTGTGGGTCCCTTGGCCCTGTCACCTGGGTTTTCAATCTCCAACTCCTGGGAGGTCTTAACAGACTTCTTTTCATATCTCTTTATTTTAATTTTTTCTGCTGCTATAGGAACCTCAGTTTTTTGTTGCTCTACATCAGATTTATTTTGGCGTCTGGGGCGCAGGGATATTCCCTAAAGAAATGAGAAGATAGCCAAAAAAAATTCCAAAAATTAGTAAAACAAATCTCAAAATTCAACAGGGAAAACAACAATCCAAAGTGAACTAAAGGAAATCCTCTGAAAATTTTATATCGATCAACTTTCTAAGATATATTTCTAGAATATCTCATCTAAGATAGTCAAGGTAATGCCTTGGTACTTTGATCCTATGGAGGAATGATTATCTCTACTAACAAACTAGAAATAAGAAATTTGGGATAAATTTCAATAACAAGCCTAACATGATAAATGTCAAGTCTAATGTTTATAGTTTACATTATAGGAAAATGCCCGCATTTTACAGGCAGTAAATGAATTCCTAATCCTTTAACAATCATTGTTAAAGCAGAACAAGAAGTTGCCATTTCTGGAGTTTTTCCAAATTTCTCTGGATGCAGTAGTGAGCTACCAGTCCCGATAGTGCTGTTCTTCTCAAGGACACGCACTACTGACACTGTTCTGTCAGCCGTTACATGGGTAGTATTAGTACCCGGTCCTGGTCATGGTGTCAGTGTCTGCGACAACACAGACCTGAATTGCCCACCTTTCCTTTGATCAAGTTTTCAAACATTTGAAGATAAACATAACTCATTTGATTCTTGAGAAATTCTTCTTAAAGTCTGCATTAACCATTTTGACTAGTTCTTATCCCAAATTAGTCTATTCCCTCTATAGGTGTCAGGAAGATTCTTTACCACAGCCTGCAGTTACTCACTGTGTTGCATGACACCCCTTTGGGAAAGGATATCCACTTACAGATTCAGGTTATATTCAAATTATTATGCAAAAACTGGTAACATCTATCCAAGATGACATTTAATGATTATGTAACACTTTGCATTACCTTATTTGAAGTGACCGAGCCTTCCACTTTGTGTTCTCTTTTCTTAGTTTTCATGTTGTTGCTGTTCAGATCTTCCACGGGTTCCATACTCTCTGCAGAAATTCTCAGACTTCTCTTCAGTACTACCAAGGGTTCAGGTGGTGTGCATTTCTCCCTGGGCGCAGACCTCTGTTTCTTGTTGGCTGGCTCCTCCTCTACAACTCCCTCTGTGGCAGTCATGCAGTGCAGTCTCTTGCCTCCCGAGACACTGTCGTCTTTTCCAGACTTCCTCTTGGAGGTCAGAGCAGTGTTGCTTTTGCTCTGTGATTTGACAGGGTCTCTGGTGCCCACCATGTCTTGTATAGGTTGTACTTTAGGGGCCCTAAGGACCCTCCTAAATGTTTTCAGAGGTTCCCCACTGTCAGGGGGCTGCTTTGGAGCAGTCTTGAGGCTCTCAGTGTCATTTCTTGGTTCCCCACGTTGACCTGGTGCTGGGACGAGCTCTTTGAAGTCGGCCAGAACTTCTAGGGCTTTGGCCTCTTTCTTAGCTGCACGTGGCTGCCTCTTGCAGCCATTTATATTTTCTGCTGGGTCCAGTTTCTGCTTTGCAGATTGTTTAGCCACTCTGATGTGTTTATCCCCACCTTGGGGTTCTGTGGATGTGTGTGTGGTTTCGCCTGATGTTTGCGTGAGGTTCTGCAGTGCAGAGACTTTCCTGAGACTTCCTTTGGGCTGTCTCTTTGTGCTTGCTGTGGTGTTCACTAGTTCTGGCAGTGGGGACCTGGTGGTTTTAACATTAGTCATTGATTTCTCAGTGTGACCTGGTGTTTGGAAGGGTTTTTTGAAGCCAGCCAGGTTTTCTAGGGGCTGGGCCTCTTCCTTAGATGCTCTTGGCCTTCTCCTGCTGCCAGTTACCCTTGCTGTCAGGTCCAATTTCTGCTCTGCAGATTGCTTGAATGCTCTGATGCCTTTGTCCTCGACTACTAGAACTTCGTGCGTACGTGTGGATTCCCCTGATATTTGCGTGAGCTTCCTCAGTGCAGAGACGTTCCTGAGACTTCTCTTGGGCCATCTTGTTGTGCTTACCACAGTATCCACTGGCTCTGGTTGTGGAGAAGTGCAGGACATTTTTGTGCTTTTAGCAACAGTCATTGACGCCTCAGTATGACCTGGTGTTTGGAAGGGCTTTTTGAAGCCAGCCAGGTCTTCTAGGGGCTGGGCTTTTTCCTTAGCTGCCCCTGGCCTTCTCCTACTGCCAGTTACACTTGCTGCCGGGTCCAGTTCCTGCTCTGCAGATTGCTTGAATGCTTTGATGCCTTTGTCCTCACCTACTAGAACTTTGTGCATATGTATGGATTCCCCTGAGGTTTCCGTGAGCTTCCTCAGTGCAGACACTTTCCTGAGACTTGTTTTGGGCTGTTCCCTTGTGCTTACTGTGGTGTCCACTGGTTCTGGTTGTAGAGTTGTGCAGGGTACTTTTGTGCTTTTGCCATCAGTCATTGACTCCTCAGTGTGACCTGGTGTTTGGAAGGGCTTTTGGAAGCCAGCCAGGTCTTCTAGGGGTTGGGCCTTTTCCTCAGCTGCTCTTGGCCTTCTCCTGCTGCCAGTTACACTTGCTGCCAGGCCCGGTTTCTGTTTTGCAGATTCCTTGAATGCTCTGATACCTTTGTCCTCACCTCGTACCTTGGGTGTGTGTGTGGGTTCCCCTGCTGTTTGTGAGAGCTTCCTCGGTG